AATACGGAAACATCCCTGCAAAATTTCAGAAATTTTCAACAGAAACCATAGGAGTTATTAAGCTTTAAACAGGGTGAATTAAATCGTGTCTTCTCCCCATACATACAGAAAAAATCCTCAAAGTTGTTTTGCATTTTTCGACGTTTCAAGGACCTCCAAGTCCAGAAATGTAAAAATCTTGAGGTCATTTTTTGATCGATCTCCATACTTTCTCCGTGTTTTTATTTAAGCTGGAAAAGTAAAAATGATCGCCGTAAAGCGAGCTCTCTATATCCCATAAGTTCAGTAGGGGAAAATCAACTCTTATCGATTTACTTTATTTATTTATAATAAAAGTTTTATGAAAATAGTAATAACAGTTAAGTAAATAATCAAATATTTATTAAATGGATAAAAAAAATCAATGCTAAAATAGGATCAAATAAAAATACNAGAAATGTAAAAATCTTGAGGTCATTTTTTGATCGATCTCCATACTTTCTCCGTGTTTTTATTTAAGCTGGAAAAGTAAAAATGATCGCCGTAAAGCGAGCTCTCTATATCCCATAAGTTCAGTAGGGGTTAAAACCAAATTAAGTCTGTAAAAATTGGGTTTTTAACTATATAATAGTATACAGATATCGCGTAGAAAAAGCAGCGTAATTAAATATAATACAGTCGTAATAAAATTTATGAGACGTAACGAAGATAGTTACAAAGAAAATCATTTGTTTGTTTTGTTTGGGTACACCTTACAGGTTTTATCTAAGATAAATATCTGTCGGGTGGAAGCGAGCGTAAACTTTTGATTAATAAAGAAGAGAAATTGTCTCCACATTGCAAAACACAATTTTATAAGGCAACTACCGTTGTAATTACGAATTAATATATTTATATTCGGGGTATTATATATCTGTACGGTTTGATAGCGGCATACTTGCCCCCATAAAGAAAATTTTCCACCATAAGGCACGAATCCTTTGTATTAAGTTTGGAGGAACAGGGAAAGAGCGAACGGTTACGTGTCTACAATACATGGGATACTTAACTAGAGATTAAGTTACTTGTATTGATAACAGAATTAATATTAATTCTTAAGTAATGTAATACCAGATGGCAGTATTAAAGCGACGTTAGTGCTACCATCTAGTATATTATAACAAATTTATTTTAAATATTTATATAAAATAATAGACTAATATAGTAATTAAAAGTAAGTACTATTTAGGCCCATCGGTCAGCTGTCCATCGCCTTCAAATTTTACACCAACAAGGAGATACACACCGAAAAACACATCAGTAAACAGCCTCTGTAGAAGACCTGTCTCTTATGAAACGGATACATACGTCTCATTTTGTTTCCCGTATTTTCCTGTAAAGATCCCTAACAGAAAACTTTGAAGTAAATTCTTTTTTACGAAATCCTTTCTCGCATCCTTTGCGTTGTCTGTATACAAATTTTGGCATCAATACGCTTACTGGTTACAGCAAAAGAGTACTCTGAATAGGAAAACTTTATGGTCACCCTACATATATGGCCTGAGTCTACCGATCCGAATTTGTGGGCTCGAAAAACTCATGGAAGGATGGTCTATCCCTGATGTGTCAGGCCCCATCGCAACTCTTCCAGCCCCATTGTGGCCTGTCGGTTGTGATTTAATGGCTTCTTAGTGTTCACAGAGTAAATAAAAGTTTTAAATTGTCTATATATTGTATAATATTTTTAAAAAAATCATCATATTTTAAGATATTTAGAAGATTTATGAATCTATATTAAAAATTTTTAGTACGAACTTTATCCTTATTGTTTTAAAATTAACGAAGCGTACACTTTAATTTAAATAAATATAATATATAATAACTTAGTTATAGTTAATGTTGATAATTCAATTTATAAAGATCAATTGTGCTAAATAATTTATAAATGAAAATTGATATTTAATTAATTATTTAGATTTTTTAGTACGGTTCTGCTTTTCCCACCAGTGGATGAGTTGATAAAACTACTGACTACCTGCCCATTAAGGTATTGTGTCTAGTAGTATTTGGGCTTTTATAGATAACAGAGACAGTTTGTTGATTAAAATTAAAATATACATCTTATTATCAGTAGGAGTGAATTCCTGGGTGGGATAATAAGATATATGGTTAAAAACAAAGCAACTGATTCCACCTTATTTAAAGGAAGTCTTTCTTTCTTTTAGGGCACTTTTTCGCATTTAATCTGAACTCGAAAGTAAATAGAAGACACGTCGTCTATTCAGCATATGAGAGACAAGAGTAAGCGCAAATTTTTTGTAGAGGGAATTACAGGAGTGACATCATATTAGAAGTAATAATGCCCGTTTCCATGTTAGCTTCCATAACATTGGTATTAGTTAGAGTAGACTTCATGGTTTGTTTTGCCTTTCAGCTAAAAAATTTCCAATTGTGTTTAGATTTATTAGATAATTTGTTGTAAATATTACGCAAAAGACTAACACAAAATAAAAATTCTTATGACAAAATATTCCGCTCAGTTTCCTGAAACTGTAGTGGCACTTCGATTGGATTCAGGCCTTTGTCTTATGTCTTACACGAGAGAAGAAAACATGGAAAACTCCACGTTAGTGAAGCACGAACCCACGACCGGTATTCGATAGTTTTATTTACTCGTATTCCTCAGAGCAGTGGGAAATGCTTTATTGCCTGGTCCATCGATTACATTGTAATTACGAAAATTTCCAATCCTGTATATAAATATATTTAAAATGAAAAAAATGTTATTGACTTTTTTCACATTCTGAATGTCGTGAACTCTTGCAAACGCAAGTACACGTAATTATGTTACATACATTTTCAATTATTAACATAACTTTATTTCTATTCACATATTTAAAGAATATATGAGCTTTTATAACACGCATTACAGGTTTTTACGTATCGCATGACTTCCTCCTTAGAATTAGGTATTGTTTTTCAAGTGGGAAAATTCCAGAGAAGTTTATAAGGTATTGGGTTTTACATTGCGATCACTGTTACACATGAAAAAAAAGTGGGAAAACTTCATAAAAATTTTAATTTGCATTATTTTATTTAAAAATTCGTATAAAATACAGTAGAGCGTCGATTATCCGAAAGTCAATCATCCGAAATAATTCCAGTCTGCAAATTTAAATTTTCGCCAGTGCTGTGGCGCTGCAATCTTTGGCTATGTCTTGGGCTACTCAAATATTTTATGTTTTTGATACTAAATTAACTTCTCAGGTATAATTTTATATTGTTTTTATATTTTTCAATATATTTATTTTGTTTGTACAAAATAAAAAAATAATTTTTAACGATACAATAGTCTTCGTTAGGCTTAACATCGACGAAAATTTAACGCGAAGCGACACGCAACGGAGAAAAATGTCAAGATGGGATAAATTAATATATTTTTTCATACATAATCGGTTATCCGAACAATCGATCTTCCGAACAACCCCAGTCCCCAATTGATTCGGATAATCGACGCTATACTGTATTGCTTTTTATTTACTTTTATTCAATCTGATTCCATTCAAATTAATCAAAGAAATACAGGTGGAATGGGTGAAAAGTGTGTTTTACCTTGCAGACAAACAGATCCATTTAGTCACACAGCCACACAGCTCTGTACAGCCCATATAACCACACATCCACAAAGCCACAAATCACATAGCTCCACAGCAGCCCAAACCTATAATTATAAATTCATAATCACAAAGGCCCATAGCCACATGCACGAAGACTAATAGTCATAACGTTACAATCACAAAGCTATAAGATACACAATTATAACATTTCATAGCTCCGCAACTATAAAGACCCATAATCATAAAGCCATAAAGCTTAACAATCTCAAAGCCACTAACGAAATTTATATTCTTAATCATCTTAAAGAATAAAAAAATATTATACAAAATAAAATTCTTTTTACTCATGTACGAAACCTCAAGAAAATAATACTTATAATTAAATTATTAACTTATTAAACACACGAACTATAATTATAATAATCCTATATTTATTGTTAATAGGAAAATTTTATATTTTAATTTATGAATTATTGTTATAACACGTATTTTTTCTAAATAATACGTAAATGGATAGCAAAGAATTTAATATAAAGAATATAGAGCGAATGGTATATAAAGCTAATGACTTTTCACACACTTCAATCATTTGAAAATGGACAGAGTCACTGTAGTATTACTTATATTATTTATCGTGAACGTGTTCAATTATTGCTGTTCTAGAGTAATTTTCGAGTTTAAAGAAGACATGAAGGATCAGCACAACGTCAATCATACAGTTGTTATAGGAGATGTTATAGATGTTCAATACATCCAATTTGACAAGTGCAACTGCACCGATAAATGTAAAGCTAAATGTGCCATTTTAGAAGATGATAATGATCCAAAGCCCATAATGAATCTCCTATCTAAGAGCCTACACAGTGATATAAAAGAAAATATAGATCATGCTGTAGAAAGTGTGAACTCTGCAACGAGCAATCCTAAGAAGAATAATAATTGTGAGAAAACCGAAAGTAAAACTGAACACGTGAGTAATGTCATTCATGAAATTAAGAATGAAACACACCATTTTGAGAAAAAAGACATTTTGAATAATATTAAGAGGAATGTCTTATCGTCGTCTTCGAAATCGCAATCGTTGAAGATTGGTAAATAATGGTTCTATGATGAAAGAGTAATTGTTTATGATAAATTTAATGTTGCATGGTGCATTATATTCACACAATACATTAATTTTAATTTATAATACGTTTTAAACAATGTGAATGAAAGAAAAAACAATAAATTTATTTTTGTTTAGTGGAAATATAAGAATTGTCACGACTAAACAATATTTATCAAAGTTTTAATAAATTTAACACTCGAAATATGAAATTTCGAGTGTTAAATTGCTAGTTATTCATCAAATCTTTGTAACGTGTCTATTTTCATTTTTGTAACATAATACTTTCTTAAAAATTAATAAACGGCATCAGTTTTACTTTTCAATGTATGAGGTGTTTATTAAATTTAACTCGTTTATATAAATGTATAGTCAGTTAAAGTGTAGAGACTAAAACACACATCATGTATACTAAATTGACTTTTCTTAACGTGTTTCTGCTCGTTAGTGTTTTTTTGATGTATACTCCTGCCAATGGTGGTTTACTAGGTCGTACTCTACAAGGTGCTCGACAAGTTGGAAACAAAGTTCTACAAGCTGGACATCACGCTCTTCAGGATGGACGACAAGTTGGACGCCATGTTATATCTGCTTTAGATAAATTACTTCATCCTCATTCTGGAATTCGATCAAAACAACAGAACGATTCTAAAGAAGAGAAGGAAACTGATGTTAATAATAAACAAAAACAGCAAGACCTTAAAGTACAGAAAAATCCTAACAATTCTGATGACAAAGGAAAACAACTGGAAGGTTCTAAACTAGAACAGATGTCTGATTATGATGAAAAGAAGAAACATCAGGAAGATTCTAAAGTAAGAGAAAAAATTGATAGTGATCAAAATCAACAGGGTGATGCTAAATTAGATAAAAATCAAGATCGTAGTCGTAAAATGTTTGAAAGTGGCGAAGACCGCATCGATGAACATCATCGTGGAAGGCTCGGAATTGCTGATTTCGATGTTCAGAAAATTAGTGATCAAGAACAAATTGGTTATAGAATTCCAAAAATTGATAGTAATCGTGGTAGAGGAGTTTCTAAAATTGGTGATTTTCCTAGTCACGGACTTGGAATCAGTTTTCCTGATCATGGGCTTCTTGGATTAGACAGTACTACTCAACGAAGAAAACATTACAATCTCGAAAGCGATCACGGTCGACTTGGAATCGGTGGCATTTATGGTTATGGGCTTCTCGGTATAAATGATAATCTTAGTCCTAGAGGTTTTGAAATTAGTAGCGACCGTGATCAGCGATTTCTTACAACTGGTGATCGAAATCGTAAGCATTTTGAAGTTTCTGGTGATAATAGTCGTGAGCTCTTTAGACTTCTTAATGGTCGTGGTCACGATCTTCGTAGAATTTTTGATGATCGAAGTTACGATCTTCTCGATAGTGTTAATGACCGCGACCGCGATCTTCTCGGTAATGTTGACAAACGTGGTCACGATTTTCTTCGAATCGCTGATCGAAATCGCAAGCGTCTTGAACTTACTGGTGATCGTAGTGGTAAACTTCTTAATGATCATGGTCATAATCGTTTTGGTACTGTTGATGATCGTGGTCGCGATCTTCTTGGTACTCTTGGTAATCGTGGTCGCGATCTTTTTGGTACTCTTGGTGATCGTGGTCGCGATTTTTTTGAACACACTGGTGGTCGAAATCGCAAGCTTCACGAACTTGCCAATAATCGTAATCGGGAACTTGTAATCTCTGGTAATCGAAGTCACAATTTTCTTAAAACAGTTGGTGATCGTGGTAAGGAACTTCTTGGATATACTGGGGATCGTGGTCGCAAGCTATTAGAACTCGCTGGTGATAATAGTCGTGAACTTCTTGGACTTCTTGGTGATCGTAGTCGCGATCTTGTTCGAATCGCTGATGATCGAAATCGCAAGCGTCCTGAAGCTGGTGATAATAGTCGTGAACTTCTTGGACTTCTTGGTGATCGTAGTCGCGATCTTGTTCGAATCGCTGATGATCGAAATCGCAAGCGTCCTGAAGTAGCTGGTGATAATAGTCGTGAACTTCTTGGACTTCTTGGTGATCGTAGTCGCGATCTTGTTCGAATCGCTGATGATCGAAATCGCAAGCGTCCTGAAGTAGCTGGTGATAATAGTCGTGAACTTCATAAACTTCTTGGTGATCGTAGTCGCGATATTCTTGATACCGTTGGTGATCGAGGTCGCGATTTACGTGGACACACTGGCGATCGAAATCGCGAGCTTCTTGAACTTTCCAACGATCGTAATGGGAAAGTTGTACTCTCTGGTAATCGAAGTCACAGTCTTCTCGAAACTATTGGTAATCGTGGTCGTGAACTCTTTGGATATGCTGGTGATCGTGGCCGCAAACTTCTTGAACTCGCTGGTGATAACAGTCATAAACTTCTTAGACTGCTTGGTGATCGTGGTAACAATCTTCTTGGCACTGTAGGTGATCGTGGTCGCGATGTTCTTGGCAATGTTGATGATCGTGGTCGCGATGTTCTTGGCAATGTTGGTGATCGTGGTCGCGATATTCTTGGCAATGTTGGTGATCGTGGTCGCGATGTTCTTGGCAATGTTGGTGATCGTGGTCGCGATCTTCTTGGCAATGTAGATGATCGTGGTCGCGATATTCTTGGCAATGTTGGTGATCGTGGTCGCGATGTTCTTGGCAATGTTGGTGATCGTGGTCGCGACCTTCTTGGTTCTGTTGGTGATCGAGGTCGCGATGTTCTTGGCAATGTTGGTGATCGTGGTCGCGATCTTCTTGGTTCTGTTGGTGATCGAGGTCGCGTATATCTTGGACTCAACGGTAATCGAGGTCGCGAACTTCCTGGAATCACCAGTAATCATAGATATAATCTGCAAACGACTGGCGATCTAATTCGCGAACTTGTTAGACTCATTGGTCTAAGAAGTCGCGGTCTTGAACTTGGAATTGTTGATGCTCTTGCTCGTGGTTTACTAAGACTTACAGACATTTACAAAGATAAAATTGGTGGTTATCCAAATGTTAATCAGCAAGATCTTGGTTTGTTTGGTATTGGTTTTCATCATCTTGATCCTGGTAAACTTAGCCTTGCTCGACAATACCAGGACAACAAACAGAAATATAATAAGCAAACAAAAAGTTGACTTTCTTATGAAATTGAAAAATAAATACATACATATTTCCATTACTGACACATTAGAATATTTTCATTTGCGTGTAAATTTTTATAGTGTTGAACACTATACTTTATTAAGACACTATTAAATATTGTGAATATTTTGTAAAATGTTGTGTAATATTTGATGTTTTTGTTGAGTGTAATAAAGTAATAAATAATCATTTGTATAAATAAAATTAAATTTCAACAAAAGATCGCTAAATGATTTTTTTATAAGATATAGCAACAATTTATCATTTTATTTTTATTTATTATTAATTTTACGAGTAAATTAAAATTAAACAAAGAAGTTTTCGTATCGGTCATTAGAGTATAATTGTTTATATGGTTTTTAATACTCTGTAAAATCATACAGCTTCTTAAATTAAACATATTCCCGATTTCAATGAAAGTAAACGTGTTTAAATATATTTATGAAGACACTACACAGAAATAAATTAGTTTTTATAATTCATATCTTTTTATATAAATACCCAGCAAAGTCCACCTTCCTTCTTAAGATCTTCCTTGCCAAAATATGAAAATATGATCAAAAATTTATAATTTGTACATCAATAAATCATGAGATAAACTTCACCAGAAAGAATTTTTAAACAAATTTATATATTTACTTCGAGAAGTCCCTTAAAATAAATTGAAGTTCCCTGTATTATCTATATTCTTGGGGTACGACACTCGGGCTGTACAATGACAGGGCCATCGAGAACTAGAATGGTGCAGGATAGAAGAGGCTTTTTTTTGCTCCTTAGCGATTTTCTTTTCTCATATTGCTTTTTGGACGCATGAAATACTTGAAATGCTTCTTTATAAACAAAAAGAAGTTTTAAGGATTTTGTTTTTTGTTAGTAAAAATAACATTAACTTCCTAAGGATAGAAACCACTGCGAAACGCTTGATTTTCTTCGGACTCAGAAAAAGTTTCCTAGTTTATCCCCCTTTTGACGGTCCTCTACTTTTGCCATCCAGAGGATAATGCTCAATATAGTCTTTTTTTTGCAGGTGAAAAACCTGAAGGGGATGAACTGTGTTCAACAGCTTTCCCCTTACATTATAATACTGTCTTTCAAGGCGACCAAATTTATAAAGTATTTTCCGAAAAGTATACTTTTTATGTTTTGCCACAAAGAAACTAAGTTCGAAGCTTAAAGCGTTAAAATTTCCATAATGGTGAATTCTGATACTAACATTTTTTTAAGTGCTAAATATCTATCTAGACATCAGCGAATAAGATAGACAAGATACATGATAGAAGACAACATACACGTGGATGATCACCGGCATATAAAACATATACAAATAAAAATTCATTGATAATGATCATAGAAACTCTTAAGTTGACATGTTTAAACGTAGTTAAGTAGATAAAGTCCGTTTTGAGCATAAATTCGAATCTTCTTAATGAATATACCAGGTTTTTTCATCTCGCCACACTTAGAAATGTTTAAAATTTTAAAAATCACAATTTAATATGAAATTAAATTCGAAAATATATTGAGTATTTGTAGTTTTATTTTGCTAATTTTAGATACTGCCGAGGTGACAATTTGGCTAAGGCCTCAACCAAACACTCGCGGGTCGAAAACTCCCAGAAAGTTTTGAGGAGTGGTCTGTTTCGGATATGTAGGGTCCATCCTTTCATCACTCGGCCGTCTCATTGTAGGCCTGGACGAACTCATAATTGGCTTGAAAAAAGGCCTTCTTAACGTTCACAGCGTGAGAAGAGTGAAAAGTACTTCAAGACTTTTCCAACAAGGAATACACTCTATTGTTTCTAGGTAAGGAAAAGCCCCACAAAGAGATGAAAACTATAAAAGAATAATGCTTATAAATAAAGTATAAAACTCTACCTATGCTAGATCTTTCTAATTACTTGTGGTGAAAAAATAAGTGACAGAACTTTCTCAGTTATCCCTGGGTAATTTGGAATAATAAAAATCATCACATATAAAAAATAAATACATAAAATATAAGTTAAAAACATTTGAAATCAGTAGTAAGCAGAAACAAACAGAAATAAAAGGACGTTATTACCTTATTATTACCTTTCTATATTATCATTCCCATTTGCTAATTATAAACATTTTCGTAAGATTAACACGGAACTGAGCATTTTACTTCTTGTTTAATGAAAATGCCTCATAAACATGTTTATAATTATTTGTAGAGACGTAACTAAACATTATGTTGAAAATTAAATTTTTAAATTATTCATAATGATTCTCTATGATTTTATTTTTTATAAATATACGGTATTTTTTTAATGTTATCCTTCGATTATACCTCTTGTACCTGGTCCTTGTCAGAAAAAACTTGGTCCTAGAATAAATGATTGATAAATGAAGTGATTACGAAAATTTCAGGCACTGTAGACTTCAGTTCCAGGCAAATTTTCAGAAATATGTTTAGTTGGTATAATTTTGTGCCCTGTCACTTGTTACATAAATATATCATTGAGGTTATGGCCGAATTCATATTAGGCATGGTTAAAAGATTCTTTTAGTGCACTCATCATAACAGCATGCAGTGTTTGGATTTTCTTTACGTGCCAAACACTTAAATAGGGTCTATTTTCCCATAAAAAGTGTTCACTCGATGCACCTTCTTAGCAGATTGTTATATGTTTGGCGTTACCTCATTCTACTAAATCCTGTTTAGTGTCCATATTACTGAAAGGCTTGAAAAATCTTAGGCTTTAAAAGCTAAATTTTAAACTTAATAAATCGATAAAAATGCTTATTATAAACTATAATTAATTAAGATATAATTTTGAACGATTTTGTGATGATCTTGGCTCTTACCACATGAATAGTTAAAGACACACTAGAGAGAACGAAGGGTACCTACCCAAATCTATTTTATTAATATTATAAATTAGTTTTTACTCTATAATTCTCTTTCACTTCTATTAAAAGAATGTTGAAATATTTGCATGTAATTTAAACCATTAATTATTCTTACTTCTTGTCAGAATAAATAATAAAATCAAGTAATTTCAAGATATTAAATGATGTTATTATTGAAGTACTATATTAGAATGTCTCATTACAATGTCACTTCTGAAAACATTTATCAACATTTTAATAAAGTTTTCTTCAAATTGGCATAAAGTTGCTCAAGAAAATCATTAATCTTGACATTCTTCACCATGAAAACTTCTCATTTTTGCAATATAATATTATTTATAAAATGAATAATGGTGCCATCAATTTAGTCTTCTATATTTAATTAAATTTAACACATATATATACCGACAAGTTACATTGCAGAGGTACAAAGAAGGAAACACCATGTCTACTAAACTATTCTTCGTCAATTTACTCCTACTTGGTAGCATTAGCTTGAAGTTTACCACTACCAACGGTTTTCGTTTACTTCATCATCTTTCGAAACCGAATTCTCTTTTAAACATCAACCGTCGACATGGATACCAATCAGAATATGAAGCAGGCGATTCAATGAATAGTGTTGTGAAGGATTCTCTTCATCATGATAAGCATAAAGAACTGGGCCATGGACCAGGATCAGAATCAGATCATGAGCATCACAAAGAAGATTTTAGGATGTCCGGACCTGAATCAAGTGGTCCAATGAAGCTTAGATATAATGTTCATTATAACCTTCCTCCAAGCTTCAGCAAGAAATCATTTGGAGCTACGATGTTTAATTATCACAAGCCAGTTTATGGTATGGATTATAGTGGAATTCCTAATGTTTACTCTCGCGAATTGAATGAATACAGAAGTGGTTCTGATCACGGGATTGGCCATTCATTCATTGGTGGTCGAAATAACGCTGGCCATTTACTTGGTGGTGGTCTTCACGAGATGGGCCGTTTCCTCGGTGGTGGTCTTCACGGGGTGGGCAGTTTACTCGGTGGTGGTCTTCACAGCATAGGCCATACACTCGGTCGTGGTCGTCATAGGATTGGCCATTTAGTCCGTGGTGGTCTTCACGGAATGCGCCATTTAGTCGGTGGTGGTCTTCGCGGGGTGGGCAATTTACTCGGTGGTGGTCTTCATGGAATGGGCCATTTATTCGGTGGTGGTCTTCACAGGATGGGCAATTTACTCGGTGGCGGTCTTCGCAGGATGGGCAATTCACTCGGTGGTAGTCGTCACGAGATTGACTTTTCACTCGATGGTGGTAGTCACAAAATGAGCAATTCACACGGTGGTGGTCATCTCAAGATGAGCCATTTACTCGGTGGTAGTATTCACAAGATGGGCCATTTACTCGGTGGTGGTCATCACAAAATTGACCATTTACTCGGTAGTGGTATTCACAAGATGGGCCATTTACTCGGTGGTGGTCATGCCAAAATTGGCCATTTATTCGGTGGCGGTCTTCGCAGAATGGACCATTCACTCGGTGGTAGTCGTCACGAAATTGACTTTTCACTCGGTGGTGGTAGTCACGGAATGGGCCATTCACACGGTGGTATTCGTCACGAGATTGACTTTTCACTCGGTAGTGGTCATCACAAGTCGGGCCATTTACTCGGAGGTGGTCGTCATAGTATGGGGCATTCACAAGGTAGTCAGAATGCCAATCTTCTCAGTTACGGCCAACAACCAGTTGGTTTTAATGGTGAAGATTAATATGGATGTCGGCAAGATGGAAAATGTTCTGACAAACATCATGGTTAGCAACCCTATAATCGAGAAATGCTTCAAGACAAACACAGATAATATGGAAAAATCAAGAACATTACTTATTCTCGTTCTAATTTAAAGACGATTGAGAAAAATGTTATTTAAAATACACAAAATTGTAATTTTTTTCACTTTTTATTTTGGATAATGATGTAAATTACAGTTTTGTTTCTTAAGGTAACGGTTCACTAAATGCTTTATAAACTTTGTTGAACACTAAATGCTTATGAACAAAAGTTTGAAATTTTGTATAATTTGTTATTAATTAAATATAAAAAATGAATAAATGAACGTTTATGCTAATGTTTTGATTAATTAATTATGTTTTTCAATGATCTTTACGTTTGATATTATATTTCTTTTAATTAGAAAACAATAATATTTATATTTATCATACTGATGTTAACTTCATTCTATAAAATAACATACAAATTTATAAACTTTTGTAAACTTTAATTAGAAACATTAAAATTTCGTTGAAAATACCAAAATTG